TTTTTACAAACTCACACATTAATTGTTTTGAGTAAAACTAATAGATTCAAACTACATCAATTTTAATCATGCATCTAAGCTCACCTTTGGGTGATAAATAAATACATATCCACATGAATAATGATGTGTCCTTTAAAATCCTAATCCAATACACCCCCCTTAGTTTATATGTGATTTTAAATTTTTCTTTAAAATATTTTATTTATAAAAATAAAATAAAATAAAATAAAAACTTGTAATTGCCCCATAAAATGATATGACATTCAAAAATAAATTTTTTACTGTTGATTGGATTTAAAATCACCAGGTTGATCTTTTAACACTACTCTAAGGAGTACTTGCCATGATTGACTTTCATTTTTCAACCATATATATTTTGCATGTGTGGTGGAAGTTTCTATGGCATTAATAGTGTATGGATGGGTTATTGAACCCTTATAATTAAAACATCTAAAATTTGATTTTCATTAGTTTCCTTTACAATACCTCATGCTTAAAGTAATAATTATATATAAAATAAATTGTTTTGTTATCAAAATTTGAAATTTGAATAAGCAAATATTTGGCTAAGTTACTGACATAATGTAATGAAAAAATTCTTAAGTAAAATCAAGCGTTGAATTTAGTAGTTTTAAAAATTTGAGTTACAAAACATGATTTCAAAGAATTGATAATTTGGGAAAGCACTCGAGAGTTCTCATCCAAGGTAATAAAGTGAGTTGTGTATGACGTTATTATTGAAAAAGTGAATAAGAGATTGAGTAGCTAGAAGACAAAGAATTTATCTTTTACATGTAGGCTTACGCTATCAAAATATGGTCCACCAGTTCTTCCGTCTTATCTCATGAAATGTGTTTATTTGTCTAGACAATTTAGTGATAATATTGATAAGAGGTGTAGAGGGTTTATTTGGGGGCATGGTGATTTACATAGGAGACTTCATCTAATTTATTGGCCTTTGGTTTGTAAGCCTAAAAAGGAGAGTGGTATTGGAATGAGAAGTATTCAACCAATTAATACTTTTTTTATGATAAAAAGTGTTGGAATTTGTGCACATAGAAAAACTCTAGGTTTCGTGCAAAGTATAAGTGTGATGCTGATATATTATTCATATTTTTAATAAGCACTCTGATAGTTTTTACAAGAAAAATACTATAATGAAATTAGTTAATTAGAATGTAGAGGTGAATACTTTTGGAGGAGCTAACATGACTTTTATTTGATTCAAGAAGTGCACTATAATGCAAACCTAATTAGCCTATTTATAGGCATGGTGTACCACTGCCTCAAAATGTCCGTGGAAGTTTCTAGCATTTTCTTTTCTAAATTTTTCAAGTCTCCAAGCTAGTCTACATCCTTCTAGTTTTCTCTTAGGACTTAAAGCTACATCTCACATTTTCTAGAAATTTGTAGCATCTTTAACCCTCCTCCCTAATATAAATTTAAGTAATCCTAAACATCGTCTATAATTGTATTGTAAGTTTCATATATATGTGTGTGTGCGCGCTCGTACGCGAGTGTGTGTGAATGTGTGTGAATGTGTGTCTGGATTTCTTGCCCATTTCTTGAATTTCTTCCTAAGTTGTTGTACTAGAATGATATGTTATTAACAATCTTTTCTTCTTTTTAATTCCAAGCAACATTTTCACCGATCTCAACATCTCTATTGATGGTGAGTTTCTTTGTTTGCAAGTTGTAGACTTTAGCCTTTTGACTGCATTAAGAAAATTCCTCGTATAGTCTTGTTGTCTAGTCGTTGTTTTTTCTCATCAAGAACATGTATGTAGCATACAAATCAAAGTACTCGTAGATGTTTAGTTAATGACTTTCTTTCACTCTAAGATTCAATAAAAGTCTTGTCTTGGATTGTCTCTATTGGACATCTATTGAGTATGTAAATTGTAGTGTAGATTGTTTCAACTCAAAAAGTGTTAGCCAAACCTTTCTTTTCATCATTAATATGACCATCTT